ACCGAAGCGGGGGTGCCATCCCCTCCGCAGAGGATCAAAATTGTGATGGCATGTCTTCGGATCATCCTCCGGGATGTTTCCCAGACCGTCCCCAATAGCCCACTGTGCAGCTCTAGTGCGACGTAAATTAACAACAACAACAAATTGTTTTTTTAATTTTTCGATTTAAACTTCTTTTTTTTTTTACTCAAGAAATTTTCCGGAATTTTGACTTGGGCTCACAATCACCCCTGTGTTAGTTTGGTAGTATCAGCTGACTAAATTATTTTCTACAATGAGGACATTAATACTGTTGTGACTAAAAGCTCGCTTGTTAGTTGTGATGTTGAGGTTTCATGAAATGGGTACCAGCTCATATGCTGTCTACGCTATCTGACCCCAGTCAAAATTATGTTGAATATCTGTTAGAGTCCTAAAAAGTAAGACTTGGAGCTATGCCGCCAGAATTGTGTAGTGTATATTGTTTCTATTTATTTATTCTATATTTACTAAGTATTTGTTTTTCCCCCTTGTTATTGACTTTTTGCTATCTGTTTTAGGTTGATCAGAATCGTCTGCTCTCACTTACTCCAGAAATAGGCAACTGTGAATCTCTCCAGGAATTGATACTTACTGAAAATCTTATATCAGAACTACCTTCATCAATCGGAAATTTAGTTAACCTAACAAACCTAAATCTGGACAGGAATCGTTTGTCTCTAATACCTTCCCAAATTGGAAACCTGACAAGGTTAGGAGTGCTATCCCTACGAGAAAATAGATTAAATTTCTTACCTGATGAAACTGGAATGTTAAAAGAATTACATGTCTTGGATGTGTCGGGGAACCGGTTAGTATTGATTTCAGTTATTTTTATACTTCACTCTATGGATGGTGACTATTCCGAAACTGCTCTTCACAAAGTTTTATTAATTTCCGAGGTTTTTTCCGAACACTCAAATAACTTTAAATAGATAAAAAATTGAAAATCAGTATATATTTATATTAAAAAAAAGTTAGTGCAAGTCTTGGCGTTGCAGCTGTATCTTGAAATTTTTTTCTTGCATTTGTCACCTTCCTTTTCTATAAGTTTAAAAGTACTTATTTAATTTTTAATATAAGCATACTTTAATACTGACAGTTTTGGGTTAACTATTGCTGTTTGCTTGTTAAATGGTCAACTCTAGTTTTCTGAAACTTACAAGGTTTGAAACAGCACTTATTAAAATGTTGAGATTACTTAATTATTTTATTTAGTTATTTTCAATGCTAATATGTGTTATTTAAGTAAGTACTTAACACACATACATACTATGCTATATTCTACTTAATGTACCTCTGCAAATTCTTATCGACTATAATTTTCCTTTTTTAGATTGCAATATCTGCCATTAACCATTACTGCTTTAAACTTGAAAGCTCTTTGGTTAGCTGAAAATCAGGTAATTTTTTTTCCTCTAATTATTTTCTAAAGAGTTTTTGCATGCTTAAAGTGATCTGAATTTATTAATATAAATATTGTATTGTGATTAATGTAACTTAGTTTGCAGTTTTTATATAAATAGGAGTAGTTTGAAATTTTCGATCATAATAGTGTTTAAAAGCTTGAATTTAACTGGCATTTATTATTGAAATTAATAATTGATGTAGTTAAATAAGAATTGGGCATGGTAAAATTTTAATGTGACTTTTCTTAAAACTATAATATTTCTTAGGAATAAAAACAATAAGAGAATTAAAACTGAAAGAAATAATTGAAACAATCTTATATTGAGAAATTACTTTTATGTACATATTTTATAAATAACAATTTTTTTCTTTTTTTCTAAAATTAAGCCTGAGGCATGCTTGCATATAAAATACTTAGTCCCCAAAAGGATTGAAGGAGTTTTCTCTCAAATATTTGAAATTAGTTACAAAATTCATCAACAGATGGTATTGCTGACTGAAAAACTATTAAAGGTTATTCTACTGCTTGTTATTGATTTACGTTTAAAGTATTTGCAAAGGCATTGATTCTTTTTTTTCTTCAGACTCAATGCTGCAAGCAGACATTATTTTGCAATCATTGGTTTATTTAAAAGTGCCACCTGTTAACCAATTTTGTAACCAGTTTTGAAACTTGGTGAGAATACATTTCTAGTTACTTCAAATACCCTGCAGATGCTTGAAGCTCTTTTCTAGTTGGTAGAATATTTTACTACATTTCTTCTTTTTTTCCATTTTTTCACTCCCTTTTCTTAAAAAAAAAACTAAATATTTATCCTTTGTGTTTTGACAGTCACAGCCCATGTTAAAGTTTCAAACTGATGTTAATGAAAGAACAGGAACAAAAGTGCTGACATGCTTTCTGTTGCCCCAACAAGAATATCACCCAGAAAGTATGGGTATGTCTCCATCTACTGAATTTAGCCATGTGTCTAAAATGTTATTATCTGACCAACTTTGTACATGCAACATAGGAAATCATTTTTATTTATTGTAACTTCCATCATCATCATCACTTGCAGCAACATATCTTTTTTTGCCACTCTAGTCCAACGTAAATAAAGTACTACTATCCAGATTCTTAGTTAGAAAATGGTTTGTTAATGCCAAGATATTCATAAATGTAATTTTTTCTTTTAAAAAATAGACTTTTAAGTGAGAAATGATGTTTTAAGGGATTGAAATTTCAATGGGATTTTTTAAAGATCGATTTGTTGAACTTCGAGTAGAACTTACATATAGTCAGAATTTTGAAATTAAATTTGTTTTGGGTTGTTATTTTAAAATTGTTTTTGGTTGCAGAAAATTAACTAAAGTTATCAAATGAATTATCCAATACATAAATGCGACATGTTTACTTAAGGGTTATATAAATAATCGAGCAATAAATTTTTAATGAGAAAAACTACAAAAGTTTGATTAATTTTTTTGTCACTTCCAAAGCACCTTGTATGAACAACAAAATCTTGTTTCTATTTGTATGTCAAAGTTGCTCAGTTAATTATCATCTTGTGTTTTTGTTATTTTTAATTTTTTTGCAAGTTTTTGTAAACCTGATTGATGAACAAGTAATCTTTGCAAAACTGCAGATTTGTTTCCCCCTTTTTTATCATCCTGTAATTCTATTGTTTTTTTAATAACCTACTATTTGTTCTCTTTAGAAAATTTGCTCAGAGACAGTGGTGAGCAGGATAGCAGATTAAGTTGGGACCAAAAAGCTGATCGAACTTCTTCTGTTAAGTTTGTTGAAGATGAGAAAGAATTGGAAGACAAAGAAGATAAGGAGGTGATTATTGTAATTGCAAACTAAAGTTTAAAATTGAATTGATTTATTTATACTTCCTGGCTTGAACTTTATAGAAATTATATAAATTTAGCATTTCATCAATTCCTCACTTTCATTTGTTATATTTTTTATTATTATGTATCTATATTTTTTATTTATCATAGATGCAAATAATGATGGGGGTACTGGTATTCATTAACTTAATTTTTTTTTTTTTTTTTTTTATTNTTTTTTTTTTTTTTTTTTTTTTTTTTTTTAATCTGAGCATGCATTTTGATTGATCAGGTTTAAGTTTAGGCAGTTTGGCAATTGTGTAAAAACATTAAACTGATCAACATCAAATCTTCTGGTTATTTTAAAATACTCTTTTAGAATAAATTTTTAAAAGAATAGCATTATTCTTATAAAAATTTGTTTTCATCAGTTCAACGCACATTAACAAAACATGTTTCACTGATTTTTAATCTTAAAAAATATGAAAAGATTCTTCAGAGATGATTCTGTTCCGGAAAAAGTCCGGATTTCAGGATTTTTTCGCTAACCGTGATCCGGAAATCCAAGGTTCAGAAGTTTCAAGAAATCATCAATCACATTTATAAATAAAAATTTTTGTATATTTTATTTAAAATATTAGAACTAGAATTTATACTTTGCATCTCTTTCATATGTAAATATTTTTTTCTGGTAGAATAATAAATGTGATTGAAGATAAAAGTAAACTCATACACAATTGTATGTAACATGCCTTGACTATTGTTACTCAAACCTTTCATCAATTTGACAGTGGTGCAGTTGTCATGGTGCGTAGATTTTTTAAAATGTGCTTAAAGGTGCTTATTTTTGCTTTTTAAAAGCCCTTATAGGTGCTTTTTACATTGGGTGTTTTTAAAAAGTGCTTATTTTTCCTTTTTCGAAAATGAGATTTTCTCTTCCATGTTGATTTTCGCCATGTATTATGAGATGGGTTTGGTGAAATTATTGCATTCTCGTGAGCAACTCTGCTGCATTTTGCAAGATATTCTCTATTTCAGGCTTCATTTTCCATGCTTTGATATTGAACCGAAAAATCTCTTGATCATTTTATAATGTCTGATATAATAAAGAAAAGAGTTCTTTGTTATAGACTAATTATTTTATAATGATCATGTAAAGTCTGAAAATTATTTTGCATTTTGTTTGTGTATATAGTGCATAAAAATATTTTTTGAGTGCTTAAAAAGTACTTAAAAGGTGCTTATTTTTTGTTGAGAGATTTCGCTATGCATCCTGAGTTGTTAATTTGCTTTTGAAAATGAGGAAAAGAATGTATCATTACTGGGTTGCCACCCCGCAGGAAAAACTAGGAAAATACAGAGAATTTTAAAATCATTTACAATAACAGGATTAATGCTGGGAATTTTTAATTTTTTCCTTTCTAACTGGGAAAATACATGGAATTTTATTTTTGTCTTTTAAAAGTGGTGACCATTTATAACGCAATCCATGAGATATTTAAGGATGATATTTCGGCTATACTAAACTACAGTTGGACCTCTATTTAACGAAGTCACTAAATCCCGATAATAAGTACCCCTTTTGAGGTACTTAAATAACACAAAACAGGTTTTAAATTCATAAACACTGGACATAGTTAAAATAGCAATTGATACACCTTTATCTTGTAAACTAGTATCTACTATTTATTTTATAAATATTAACCATAAAAGAAATCTGCATCGAGAGCAAGAATAGAGCAAAACATTATCAAGTGTTACACTATCATGCTACATTAATTTTAAACTTAAAAAAAAAAAGCTAATTTTATGTATAAAATTATGGCTGTATTTATTGTAAAATTAATTTAAACTTACATTACCACATGCATTCTTTAGTTTAATTGCGACTAAAGATTACTAGACTTAATTGCGACTGATAAAATCTCTTAATTATGTTTTGAGTTTTTCGTTTGAAATTCAAACAAGAAAGGGATTTTACTGCTTTGTCTTTAAGTTAAGTGGCTTCACAAATCAATTCAAAGTCATTTTCCCCATATAACATGTTAACAAGTTTGAAATGTTCTGAAATATTTTGGGAAAGTGGATCTCAAAAAGTTTGTTAAATAGAAAATTCACTTCACTTTTTGGAAGTTATTTGACAAAGAAATTTCCAAAATGTTTTTTTGCTCGTCTGAAAGAATCGCGCAATAGAGAAATTTTCAAAATTAAATTTCTTTAAATAGAAGTCAGACTGTATTTCATTTACTATAGCATTATTTGTTTTAAGTATGTTAAGCTATTTCTTATTTTTTCAAGTTTTTCCAGTGATTAAAACTAGTATAGCTAGACTAATATAGGCCACTCAAGAGCACAGTGATGTTTCCTCTTAATATATTGTGTATAATATGTACGGGGAATTTTTTTTCTCCTGATTTGAGTGGCAACCCTTTGTTAGTTAAGGAATCTCATATTAAGTGATCATCGTAATTACTCATTGATTGCTATTTTTTTAATACATTTTCTATTTTAGGAAGAAAGTATTTTTAACCTGTCTTTTTATCACAATTTTTAATTTTTCATAATATAAATCAAGTTTTGTTTTTCAGTGTTTGCCACATCAGATATGTGTTTTTAAAGGTTCAATTACAACTTTAATTTCATAGTAATTTTCATGTATTTGCTGTTGTTACTTGAATTTGAATGTACTTGATTTTAAGTTATTTTTGTAATCAGAATTTTACTTTTTAAGGATCCCTCAGATTAATATTTTTGATTCCTTATTTTTACTCTTTAAATTTTGCTTAGAATGAAATTTTTCAGTAATCTGCATAACGAGTTTGTGTTCATAGTGGACTCTCCAGTTTATGCATGTGTTATTATCTATCCCACAGTGCTTTGCTGCTTTAAAAATTCACTGCATGTTGCCATTTTTTTCTTCCCTTTATTTTTAGTACTATTTTTGTTTTCCCTCTTATTTTTTAGACTCAATTTGTGCGGCATGATACACCTCATCCACGAGAACTAAAAGCTAGGCACAATAAGTTGCTAGTTAGCAAGGCTAAAAACATTGACGGCCATGTTGTGGCACATGAAGAGGTAATGCATTGTACTGCTGTTTTGAATTTTTTTTTATCACAATGAAGTAGTTGTTCCAGAAGTAACAAAACATTTGATTAATGAGTAAACTACTTACTATTTAACAGTAGGTTACGCAATATTTGCAGAAATATTTATATGAAATGAAGCTACCTTTTTTTTCTTTTTTTTGTAGGAATTGACCACCAAGGAATTGAGCCATTTATTTTGAAACTAATTTTTTTTCAGATGTTTCAATTTTATATTTTTTATTTATTTACAGGGTAACCGCATACCTGGAAAGTCATGAATTTCGGTATTGAACTAAATTTGTCATGAAATGTCATGGTTTTTACTATTTTTTTAAAAGAAATCATGGAACGTCATGGATTTAGGTTGCCGAAAAATTTAATTTTTAAAATGGAATCCCCAAATTTCATGGCGTTTCGAATATCTTAATTTCTAACAAAATCCCCACTCACAGTCATATTTTATTAAAATATAAAATGTTATTACCATGTTCTTTAAAAATTATGGTGTTCTTTCAAAAAATGAAAGAAAAAACATAATTTCTAAAACGAATTATCTTTTAAACTTCTGTGATTTCAGAATTTTTATTATTATTATTTTTTTTATCAATTTAATATCTATAAATAAGAAGATGCAGTGTATAACAGTTTTGGTTATACCTATCATTTCAATTAATGTTATTATAATGCCTTTTTGAATTTATTGTTCTGTTTTTGTCGGAGAAAATAGTAACTTTGTTAAGTCATTAAAAATTCTTGGAATTAGTCATGGAAAATCATGAAAAGTCATGAATTTGAAAATCTAAAATGTAGCAGATACCCTGTATTTATTTTTGTGGTTAAAGTTAATTGCTACCTTGGTAAAAATAATGGATTGAAAATAAATGAACTTTGTAGCTCTTCTTTTTTTAGGATTTGCAGTGGCATGAGTCCATTTTTTTTTAGCAATTTGAATATTCTTAACTTTAAAGTATTGTATATTCGATCATAAAGAAAATCGTTGTCTGTGAGAGTAATATTAATTATTGTATATTTTTGAAATGAATGGCTTAATTACTTGCTTTACCATAAAAAGTCATAGAGCAGCTGTCTTTAATATTTAGGCATGCTTGCTGATTTTGCTTTCCATATTTTGCATGGCTGGTAACACTGATGTTTGAGTGTGACTAAAGTTTTATAATTGAAAAACTAAGTCGATGTGTTATTTTTATGAATTGGCAGGTCTTCATTTATTGTGCAAGAGCCGAAGAGGGAAGGGGCTTTCAAGTTGCTTACTTTTACTGGCGTAAGGGAAGATCTGAGAAATACATACATAAAACACTAAATTTCTGTAATGATTGTAGATGGGGGGGGGGGGAATCGGTAAATTTAATTTAATGAAAAAATTTATGTAAATAGGATAAATTCAAAGGAATTTGAACGAATTTTTTTCCAAATCAATGATTATACCTGTAATCAAAGATAGTAATACTGTAATAATGAACACAAAGAAATGACTTCAACTGTAAGCTTCATCTACATAGGTATGATTCTACAAACTAAAGTTAAAATATTGTGTAAATGCTATGTTCTATAAAAAATAATGATTTTGATAGTATAATTAATCGAAGCAAGAATTTTGCTAACTCTAAGTTCAACTATAAAATTCTTAAAAATTTAAACTTGTAAAGAAAAAGTAATAAATCCTTTAAAATGTGTCTATAAAAGTGTACATTCCAAAGAATTCCACAATCTTAAACAAATTCACCAGATAAGATAAAATAGCTCAAACATTTTTCTGTGATATCAAATTTACTGATATGTTAAATTTTTTTCAATATCTAAATTGGTCTGAAACCACCATTATTCAATTAAATTAATAATGAGATATGAATGTTTAAAAACTGTTAAGAAAATCTATAGTGTATGAGTACAGTGTGTTGTTATTGAGAAATTCAATTAGTAAATGATCCCTAAGTTTATCAATTGGGAAATAGTGTATTAGATGTTTGTTTTTTGTTATGAAAATTAAAATGGATTTACTAAAATTGACAATCAAGTAAGAAATAGCATGGCTGCTTCATGTATTTATAGAATTAAAACCTTAGATTAAAATTTAGAGTCTTAGTTTTAAATTACATTTTGAAAGAAAAAAGTGTCACATTTTTTCTCTTGATAGGAAAATGCTGCTGCGAAATGCAGGTCTGATTCTGTTCAAGGAAAAGTTAGAGCCCTACCTACTAAAAGAATTATATGACAGAAAAAAATTAATATTTATTGCATAATGCCAATCATAACATAATCTTTCACAAAGGAAATTGAGAGTTTAAAAGTGTTTTACTTAACGTTTTTTTTAAAACTAAATAACTCCATTTAGTAATAATAGTTTAATATAATAATTTAGTTTAATAACTGAAAAAAACAACTTTTACTCTACCATACAAAATTTTGAAATAAAAATTTTTAAGAAAAATCCTAAAACTAAAAAATTTTACTGTTTGTTATTGGAAACTTTTTATTTACTTTTTTCATTTCAAGTGCAATGTTATCCAATATAAAACAACTTTGTTGTTTTTTTTGAACAAAAAATTGCTTAAAAATATAGTCTAAAATTTAAAAAATATTTGTATATAGCTTGCATTTTTGAAATAAGAAATCAAAAGTAATAATAGTGTATAAAAATTCCTGGCACTTTTTACTTATTATGCTTTTCATTGCTATTTCATTCGGTGATAACAAATATATCTAGATTGGTTTTATGCAAAAGTTCATAAATTATAATTATCATAATTATTTAAAGTAATAGATTATAATTGCATTACGAGTAAAATTTTCTATTATATTGTTTTAGTTACATGCACCGCTACCTTCATAACTTGTACATTTATAATGTCTCATCGGATCAAAAAGTATTTTATTTATTTATTTTTTATTTTCTTAATTTACATCATAATAAAATTTAAATTTACTAGTTAATCAGATTTGTTATCACAAATTCAGATATCCTTAAAGAAATAAAATATTCAAAGAATATTTTTTTCTTTTCAATTATTTCTAAAATGGAATTTTATGTTTGGTTTAAAAAGTCTTTTAAAGGCTTTAAGAGAAAGAAAATTCCTCCCCTGTGAGAATTTAAATTTGAAATTCCTTTAATGTTTTGAGTACAAAGACACTTATCTATATCCTACAGCATGTGTATTTTAGTGGTGGATGGTTCTGTAAAATGAATATGACTCTTTACGTATAAAGAATATGACTCATTACATAAAATGAATATGACTTATTACATATAACATTAGAGCATTACTGTGGTTAGCCACAAAGTTACCTTTCGTCAAAAATTTTTTTTACTACTGTTTCCTGATAGGTAAGAGCTTCTGGAATTTTCATGTAACAGCATAATGCACAAAAACATTTCGTTGTTTGTATAGAAATGTGTTTTTTCCCCCTCTGAAATGGTTTCTCGAACATTTGAATACGTTTCACGTTATAGTCTGATGAATGCATAATTTCAACTGACACTGCATGCTAAAAGAATATTGAATTTTGAAAAAATTTACAAATGACTTTTGTGTGTGCTCTGTATCAGTGCAAATGTTTAACAGATGTACTAAAATACATTTTTTGTATGATGTGAGCGGGTATCCATCGATTTAAAATTTTAAATAGCAAACGAAACTTTAGATAAGACGTAAAAGCATTGCTGCATCTTCTCTTTGAATATATAGACTAAAAGAGCCTACTGACTATGTTTACTAGCAGTAGCTTTATCCAACTAGTTGACATTTCCTTTCTATAATATAATAATTGAATACTAAGTTTTATAATTTTTTTTCCTTTTTAGATACATTGGACTATATATACATTTATTTCCCTTTTTTTTAAAAAAACTGTGAATGACTTTAAATTTTTAAGTTTAAATTTATTCATAAAATTTGCTACATAGCCTGTATATATTATAGTAACTTATTTATAGTAAATTAAACAAATAATGATATAGATTATATATTTCTATTATACATAATTTATATTTTTTTAGTTGAAAAGTATTTTTGCCTTCATACTTTTAAGAGTATAAATTTTTAATATGGTAAAAGCATTTTTTAAAAAAAAAGAGGAAGACTTTTTTGTGATTGGTCTTATTTGCAAATTTATGTTAAGGTTTTTATAATAATTTTGATAAGTTAATAGGATTCTACGAAAGCTGCTATGACAAATATTATTTAGTTTTGAGTATTTCTGAAAACTTCACATGGTTTTTCTGTAAATATTTCAAAAGTAATTTGTCTCAAATTTTTGTTACTTTTGGATCACTCTGTATTTTGTGCATACTCACTGTTTTTTAAGTACTTCAAATGTTTTTGAAAAGTGAAAATTTTGTTTTTGCCTTTTTGAACTGAGCGATTTTTGAACAAGATTTTTGATAATAGCATTTTTCTATATTGCATTAATTTCAATTGCTACATTATGAAAAAATGTTTCTTTTCGAAGTTCAACTACTCAGACTTTAACATTGACTATTTTGCCATTTGTTAAATTCAATATTAGAATAATGTAATATAAATGTGATGCAGTAATTGCTTTTATTTTGCATTTGCATATAGACGCTTGCTGCACAGTTTTATTTAAGTAAATTTAGATTTGTTGTACCCTTTTTTTTTAAATCCCAAATTGTAATAAACTTTTACATTTTAATAAGATCTGTGCCCTCTTTTGAATATTGACATATTTTGAAAACATTTGGCAAATTCTAATTTATATTTTTGTTTCTTATCTACATAGTATTTCATTGGAATGCTTTGTGTTTTCTGTTTAGATAATCGTTTATAGAATAGTTTTGATTAAATATTTAAATTAAAACATAGAATAGTCTTTTTTTTATTTAAATAAATTGTTTTGTTTTTTTTTGTTTTTTTTTATTAAGTTGTATGCCTAGCCATTTAACTTTTTTTTATACAATTAAACACTTTTTATTTTGCTTATAAATGTATTTTTCTATCGAATGACTGCCTAAAATAAATTGTGTCTATGATTAACAGCAACTTGCTGCATCACGTGCTACAGAAATTTTGGTGCAAAACGTGAAAGCAAGATTTGTTTAATTCATTTTAATCTAGTGCTTAAAGAATCCTAAAATATTATCTTTCATCTATAGATTAGAAAATTGTAGACAAAATGGCTGAATGTGATTGTTCAGACATTTAAAACTTAATTTTTAACATGAAAAGGTAAGAACCTTAATTATTTTAATTTTATAAAGCAGTTACAAGGTATAATGTGTTGATTTGAAAGGTAATTTGGTAAGCATATTTTTTTGAAGTGCTGTAATAATATTTGAAATTATTTTTAAAGCTAGATAATAAAATCTGCCCCACCACCCATGAAAAAAGAAATATTCCAGGTAATAGCATATGAAATTTTAAACTTATTTTTCAAGTGTTGCCATTTAAATAACAAAAATTTAAAATCACAACATCATTATTCAATGTATACTCTAGATTATTATAATACAAATTTTTGAAGTGCTCTGTTTGTTTTCATTTTATCCCATTCTTACAAATGAAAATCAAATATTGCCGTTTAATCTTAACTTTAGTTGGCCCAAATAAGTGAAATTTACTATTAAGTTTTATTAAGAATTTTTAAGTTTATTAGTAAAGAAATGTTTAGAATGTTTATTTTTTTTATTAATTTTTAAACAAAAAATATTGTAAAAGAAAAATATTTATGTAAAAAAGTGAAAGATAAATATGCCGATAGGTTTGTCAAAGCAACCAGGAGAAATTATACATCACAGATTATTGGCATTTTCAATTAGCAACACCTTATATAAATTTTAAATCAAACGTGTATACATATCACGCATTAAAAAATGTCAGATTATTATATTTAGTTAGATTGTAATTGGGAATTTACATTTAAAAGTAATATTGTATGGCGATTAGGTACTGTATTCGAATCTACTAACGTTTTCTGCTTTTTCTTACCATTACTATTTATTGTTTATAGAAGGGAAATGAAGTGATTGACAGTTTTAGACCTCAAAGATCGAGCATAACATCTGTCACTTCATCGAGCTCGGAAACCTCAGCGACACAGTTTAAAGGTATGTGAAGGATGAGTTTTTTTTCTTTATTGTAGAGTTTAGGGCAAAATTTAAGAAATTTTGTTACTAGCCTGTGGAAGCCTTTTTAGCAGTGACTAGTTTTTAAAACATGTGGCTACTTTCTCAAAAATTGAAATTTCTAAACAATTAAAAAAAACTGATGCTATTAATGTAAAATATTTCTTCTGGTGCAATTATCAAAAAAAAAAAAGCCTTGAGCTCTCCAAATTGGTTTATGTAAAATTTAAAAGTTCTATAAAATGTAAGGTTCCAGCAACATCAAATTATGTTTATTTCGGAATAAGGTTCATGCAACATCAAACTGTGTTTATTTCTGAACACAAATGTATTTTTTATCGAAAAAATCTCCCTTAATTCTGATTATAATTGTGCAGCAACTAGGAAAAATTGGAATTATCGGGAGTTAATTGATTTTGGAAATTTCAAGGAATTTCTAAAAAATCTTTAAAAAAAAGGAAATATTTTATAACAAGCACTTAAGCCATCAATGCTTCAATCCTTGAGCAGTGCTTCACCAAGAATGACCTAAACAAGTTTTCTCCCATATTTCTGGTCCTGAAGTTTCTTCAGTAGTGATTCGTCGTTTTTTCGGTCGTTAACCTATAGGTTTTCGAAATGGATATATTGAACACGTTATTATGACATGTGAATTTCTAATTTGAGCTATCACTTTCTTTAAGTGCTCAATTCGTAACAATTCTATTATATTTTCTTATCTTTTGATTCTTCGTGATTCCATTGTGATTTTATGTCATTTGATGATTGTTCTTTCACAAGTTATTTATCATTTTTCCAGCTTTTTCTCATGGTTTTTCAAATTTAGATATTTTAAATACAATTTTATTACATCATAGGAATTTTGAATTTGATGTATCACTTTTTTTAATCTGTCAGATTCTTGACATTATAACTTCACCTCGATGAATGTGCTGTTTTTCATCTATTTATCATTTTTAAGCTCTTTCCACAGGATGGAATCAAACTTTTTTTTCTTTCTTGAATATGTTATTGCGACAAACAATTGAATAAGAGTTGTCACTTTTTGGCGTGTGTGATTCACAATGACTCCTCCTTAAATCCACGTCTTTACCCCATTGTTTTTTTGGGGGGCCATGTTTTTTCTAAGTCTTTATACACTGTTATCATGACAAATTAAGTAGTATGAATAGTAAATGAACTTAGTATATTTTAGGTTTCCTTAAAGTGATGCAAATCTTTGTGAAATGCAATGCTCCTTTTTGTGATTGATACTTTTTTTTAGGGGATTCAATGTCATTTTTAAGATCTAGAATATATAATATTGGAATAATGAAAGAAAAAAAAGTATATAATATTAGAATAATAATTTATAATATTAAACTGTCTATCGCTATTATTTCATTCTACTCTAATTGATTATATATTTTAAATGATAAAGTATTTTTATTTTATTTAATATTAAATGTGATTGGCGCGATACAGGAAAAATCTTGAATTTACTCTGAAAATGTCTTCTCACTGGGCACCTCGTGGTGGAAAAAAATAATCCTATGTAGTAAATACGAAAAGCTGAAAGCACATGTAACAGAGCTCGTGGGAGCATTATTCTCTGATAAAAAATTGGTGACTGAAAAATTTTTAATCCCCACTTTTTATATTTAGTGTCTGATGGCGGCCATTAATTTTACTCTATATATTTTTTACTATTTAATGTTTTCCATTAAGAGACAAATGTAAAATTTGAATCTAAATGTATCTGTAATGCAATATGAAATTTCACTTATTGGAGGAAATTTCACTTATTTAATTTATTTGTAATTCTGATCTATTTGTAATTAGATAATGCTTAGTTCAAAGGAAAAAATGAATAAAATAAGATTGCTTGTTATTTAGTTAAAAAACCTTTTAGTGCCATTGCAAAAATTTATTATTAGAACAAATAAGACATGTGAATGAATAAATCATTTAAATATACATTTTTTAAGTTTATTCTAACGTAAATTTTAAGTCTTTATGCATTATCAACTTACTGTCAAAAAAGAAAGAAAAAAATATTTTTTTTATGTTAAATTTAACGTATGTCAGTTTCTTTATTTGTTTGAATTCTTTTAGTTCATAAGTGGGATCTTAAATTAGTTTATAATTTTAGTTTTATAGCCAGAAAAACACAATTTAGAAGAACACACTATTATCACTCAAGAATAGTGTAAAATCAAATGAATTTTTTTTATTTTGTTGATGAAAAAAATATCTAATTATAATGAGAAATAAAAAAGTTATTGTAACTAAAATTAAAGATAAAGAAAAACTCTTGATGATTTTCAGAGTATAAGTATTATTAATTAATAATTTGGAGTATAAATATTAAGCTCTGACTTTTCAGATGCTGTTCAGAGCTTAGCAGATATTCCTGATTCAGATGATCTTCCAGAGGCTGATCAAATGCCAGAACAGACTGAAGATGTTGATTCAAATCGTCCATTGTATCGTGCTCAAACCCGTGAAGATTTGCTGGATGAAGAAGAATCTGCGCTCGACAGTTCGGATGTATGTTTTTTTTTCTGTCTTTACTGATAGATTTTTCATGCAGCTTATATCTTTTTAAAGCTACTGCTTTTGAAATTCGAAAAACTTTTTCCTGGAGATTAGATATGAATCCTTTATTATTTATAAGTTTCTCGTTCTGTAATTCAAAGGTGTCCAACTATCGGTACTGTACCAGGGGTTCCAATAATTTGACCTTTTGATTAAAAAGAAATGATAATGATTTTGTAGTTATTTGTATAGTTATATAAATATCCCATTATTAATTCATTATTTGTTTAATGCATATTTCAGTTATTTTTATTTAAACTATTTAAGCTAAATGCTAATAAAAAAAGAAATGACAAAATTATTTAAAAAAAAAAATTTGCCAAAAAAATATTGAATACATTAGGAGGAAAAGGAAATGTATTTATGAAAGAAATTCATTATTATTCATCATCTAACTTTTGAATTGAAAATATTGTTAGAAAAACTGAATTCAATGCTAAAAAGATTTTCTTTGAAAAGTTTGAAGTTTCTTTGAAAGTTCATTCTCAAGATTTATAAGTTTTTTTCCCCATTCCAACAAAATTTATAATTCAGCATATTTTATTTATTTTTGACTCAAATTTTAACCTAAACAAATTCAAAAGAGGAGGCTAGATACTACTCCAGACCTGCGAGTTCAACTGTCTGATACAAAACCGTAATTTAATTTTGGCGAAATAATGAAGAAATCTATGATATGAAAAGCAATTTTGTTTGTATAGCAAAAAAAAAAAATGCCCTAGAATATAAAAAAATAATTACCCTGAAATAGAAGGGAAGGGACAATATTACATGTCCCAAAGAATCTCAAAAATAAAGTAAAAAGAGTAAATTTAAAAATCCTTTAATGCTTTCATAACAATTACAATTGTCATTAAAATTTTGGCCTTAATTAAGATCAATCTAAATTGTAATATGATTGTCATGTTTATTTTCTCTTGTGTAATAAGTGAATTTTTAAAAATATTTTTGTTTATCTTACAGGAAGCAGAGAAACATGTAGGATTCGACACTGATACAGATGATCAATCAGATAGGCCAAATAAATTGTATCGAAGAGATACACCTCACCATTTAAAAAATAAACGCATTAACCTGATTGATTCTCAAAAGGATTCAGAAAAGGTATGGATTTTTAGTAAAAAATTGCTTTACAGATTCAATGCATCTGTAGACCTGTTTATTTTAGATTAACTTTGCTTGAGAAATACTTTAGAGCAGGGGTGTCAAACTCAAAAGCTAACTTGGGCCAAATAAACAATGCTTAACTTTAGGCGGGCCGAAAAAAAAAATCTATGTTCATAGAAACAAATATTTTTATTTTGAATTGTAATAAACATATATAAAGTTAAATTATTGTTTACGTCCAGATTCTTGACATCTCTTCTCTGCTACTATCTTTTTTATTTTGGGAGAAATTTTATTGACAGAGACTACTTTCAAAATTGACCCAACGTGAACTTTATTAATACGGTTCTGGACAGGAGATTTATTTTCATTCATAACAGAAAATAATTGCTCTCCCTAAGTACTTCCAAACATGGAAATAATTTAATGCTCGAATTTTCGGGTATTTTCAAACCTTGCCGGTAAATATTCGTGAAATTTAGGCACACCCACTTCAGTGAATTTTGCCTACAAATTTGAGTCACACTGAATCTCAATCACTTCCATTTGCTTATAACTGGGTACTGAGTCTATATTTATTGAGAAAATCGAAGAAAACAAACAAAATTTGTGTTCCAAGGAATTAAAATCTATAAACCTTGTTTCAAATTCTGTTCTAAGATTTGAAATTGTTTTCTGTGTATTTTTGATACGATGCAGTATCATCTAAACTAGATTTGTTCTTGTTGCACGTTGGGAAGTGCTCTAAATCTTCATTTTTCAGTTGCCTTTCCCAAAGAAATAGTTGACATAAGCGTTTGGTTATATCAACCATAAAAGATAAATCTTGCAACCATATTTGATCGGAGAACAAGCTTGTATCTTGATTTATAGTTTTTAAAAACTTACATATTTTTTCTTTCAAATCCCAGAATTGTTTGAGAACCTTGGAGCAAGATAACCAACTTACCTCGCTATAGTAGGATAAACCTGATTATGTATTATCTAATTGATAGCTTAGTGTGAAACGGACTCCATTTAAGCCAGTTAGAATTTTACATTTTCGCGCGTACAATTTGAAATTATCTATATAGTTTATAAATAAAGTATATTATAATTTTACATTTTCGCGCGTTCAATTTAAAATTATCCATGTAGTTTATAAATAAAGTATATTATAATTTTATATGCTGCTTTCGTTTCTAATTCACATTTTTATTTTATTTTTAATTTGCTTCAGATATATTGGCTGGACCATAAAAATGTTCATCTCGGGCCGCGAGTTTGACACCCCTGCTTTAGAGCATATTAGTTAATTAAAATTAAATTGCTTTACTTACTTTTTGATGTGTAGAAGCAAATTATTGATTAATTACGAAAGGTTGGAAAATGAGAGAGAAAGCTAAAATCATTAGACAGGGAGACAGCAACACTTTTGTAAATTTCATTCCTTTTCATTGTTTTATTTATATTAAATATTTTTTTAATTTTATAATATATTGCCTTGAATATATCATGCTGCTTTATATTAAAATTTGTCTTGATTCAATTAAAAAATACTCATCACGATTAATTGTTATTAATGCTGAAAACTGTATGCTACAAAATAATCACATTAATGTAAATAATATTAAGATATGACATTTTTACATATGTTGTCAATCAAATGCGAAATTAACTTTTAAGCATATTCCCTTCTAAATGTTAAATCTTTTTTTGCACTGTAAGGGTTTTGTTTCTATTTAAATTGCTTTAAACCCTATAAACTTTCTTTAAATTAAAGTATATAACTTGCATTTATTTTACTCACTAGAATATTATATTTTATTTTAACAAAAATTTAATTAATGAACATTAAAGTTATTTATTGTTAAAATTTATGTTTAAAATAACTTTTGTAATGTGATAAAAAAATCCATGACTTTTCCCATTTTTATTTATTTCAAATTATCTGATATTTTTTTTTTCTGATAAGGGAATTTATTTTTAAATGTAATCAGTTTTGCAATCTATAGTTTTAAACATTTGAAAGTATTTAATTCTATGCAAACATGTTACTAAATTTATTGCTCAAAAGAATTTAGTGCCTAGAACAAAAATGTTTTTATAATTATTACTACCGATATTCGTGCCTAAATACTTGGGCATTTTGCCCTTCATTGGTCAATCAGCTGTGCATGTAGCCCTTTACTCAAAAAGGCATTCCTAAGCATTAAAAAAAAAAAAGAATTCGCCTCTTCTATCAGATTTAAGTTATGGACTATATAATATTAAATTACAATAATGCTCTATTGTCTTTATATATTTGTATATGCACATACGATAGAGTCCCGATTGTGTGAGTTTCCGCTTTAACCAAGCTATCAAATATTTCAATGATTTTTTTTTTAAACTACCGCCGAAAATAATCTGAGTTTTATCTTCCAAATACTCAGGAAAACGAAATCCAACAACTTGATCCAATTATATGATCGTTAATATCGTCAATTATGAAAACGAATCTAGCGAAGATGATGAAAATCAGTGACTATGAAAATCAACATATAAAAATTTCTCATACAGACAGACTTAAAGTTATTGAAAGTGCTATTGAATATATGGAACAGAAAGAAAAGGTGACACCAGCCTTCCTGTTATCCTCAAAAAAATGGCAAAGCATTGCTACAAAAAAGCACCAAAGTATTGTTAAACAAAAAATGATTAAGAACTTCTTTAAGTAAAAACTCTTTAATTCTCATAAAGTATGCTCTTCAGGAGTTTTCAAGTAAGCTTTTAAATTATAATATGTATTGTATGTGGTGTAGTCGTATAAATTTTGTATTTGTTAAATATATTACATTTATACCTACTATTTATTTTTAAAATTTCTTTATACTCTTCGCTGTAACCGAGTTTTTCGGTTATCCGAGTTAGTCGTGGTCCACATTAACTTGGATAATCTGGACTCTACTGTATATATATATATATAGATATCTATAAGAAATGTAAATTAACCCCTTTTTTTTCTATAGGTTCTTGCTATTTTAGCACAAGCTGCTGATAAAAAACCTATATCAGATGAAGCACCCTCCTCCAACTCCTCACCTCTTCCACCTGAATTAGAAAATGATGAAACTACTCATGATGCAAATGGTTATTATTAAATACATTCTGTATTTTTTTGATAATAAATTATAATTAAAGCAATTTTTATAATTTGTTAAAATGAAAAACAGAACTTGCCAGAGTGTTATAATGAAATATTTCCTTTGCTAGTTCAAAAATGAATTCTATTATAAAATTTTAATGGCAAGTTATTTATGGTTCAATTGCTCTTGCTTCATGAGATATTTGATTTCAGTGGTAATTATTCTGTGAATCTCATCAATATTTTTTTAAACAAAACATTTAATTTATTTTATAGGTCTTGATGAAAGAAATATAAATATTACTATTGCTCCTTCTGACATAGAGATAGTGATCCAGAAAACGACTGCAGGCTTGGGTTTAAGTATAGCTGGAGGTATTGGTTCTACGCCTTACAAAGGAACTGATGAGGTTATTTTTTTTTAAATTTGAATTATTTTTATTTTGTACAAAGAAGTTTACATATAATCGATTTAGGATAACTCTAATCTGAAGGGACTGAAGCTCAACTTTGGCTTATCTGAGATCTAGATTAATATTAGATTAATTTTTTTAAAGTTATAATAAATTTAGATTTAATAATTAATATATAGATAATTGATTTAATAAATAATTTTTAAACAACAGAATGACCCAAATTTAAGAAAAATTATCAAGATTATGAATTATTAGAATGTGAGTATGAACCTTACTTTTAATTAACTTTCTCATTATTAAGTAATATCACATTTTTCGTTAAATTGAGCACGTTTAAGTCTCTTTAAACAACAAATCATCAATTTTTTGTAGGTGCAAAAGTATTGAAGCATTAATGTTTTCTTTGCTCTTTATAATTCTTTGTTGAGCCTCTAATCATTCTTGGTTCTTATGTGTTTGAAGCTAGTGCTTCTATACTTTCTTCTTCTCCTTCTGTTGATGATATAAATTATTCAGAAATTTTGCCATAAGCAGCAATGTCTTCTTTAAAGTTTATAAAAATCTGTATTCTCACATTCTGTCTCATTAAGTTCTACAGTTGCAGATGTAGATGTGTAGTACATTTATCCATAAAGAGTCGCACTTCGTTTTTTAGCCTGCTATTTAGCTTTATTTTCCAACAGGTACATATCCACGTACCTCTAAAAACGATACTGACGTATATGGTCTACGAAGCTCTAATAACTCTCTTTTGTAATGTTCTTTGAAATGTTTTTTTTTATGGAGTGATATTTTAAAATTAATTATAACTAACAAATTAATTATAACTAACAATTTGGTATATTTCAGGGCATATTTGTATCTAAAGTGATTAGTGGTGGACCAGCTGAAGCTGGAGGTTTGAGGATCGGTGATAAAATTGTCTCAGTAAGTATATTACTTTTCCATTTTATTCATTTAAATTTTAAATGTTTTTTTTTTTCTAAATATCATACTGAAATTTTTTCTTTTTTAAAATACCTTTACAAAAATATTTCTGAATCAGCCAAAATTTGTAACAAAACAATCAAAATATTTTTTCTTACTTGCTTCATTAAGTTTTTAAAATTTTGGATATCAAGAAGAAGTTATTTCATTCTTATGTTGTCCCCCCTTGAAACTAAAGGAATTCATTGATTTGGGAGTGTAATACAGTGTTCCTTTAATTTGTGCACGTTAAAAATAAGAAAATGTTTAATAAACTTTTTTTTAGATTTATATGGAAATAAAAAATGAATTAGCAATATCTCTTTAGTATTCATTATATCGTTTTTGTAATTTATTTTATGGTAAATACTGTTAAACCTAATTGCATTCTTTTTATGTTATATCTTTAGATTGCATTTCGAATTTAGGCGAAAGTATAAGAAAAATTAATATTGTTTAAGCATGTACTTTGAAATTTAAGTTTAAATTGCAGTGATTGATTTATATCTTTGAATATTTTACTAAGGAAATACTTGTTAAAAAGCATTAATTAAGTTCGTACTTGTCCGATTGTCATGTTAAAAATTGTTTTGTCCTTATTTGACTTGCTATTTAGTTTTTTTACCTTGATGTTTCAAATTTTTGTGTGTGTTCAAGCTATCCTATTTTCTAAGATTACAAACTACTTCAAAATATTCGATTTATTTTATTTAATGATGCTAATAAAAATTGCAAAATTCAATATTTCGGATTAAATATATACGTGGTTCAGTACATAGCCTTACCCACAAGATTCACTGTTTCAAATTATTTAGGAATTCAAACATTTTATGGAAAAGAAACTCTCTTCGTCATTTTTAATTATCAAATTTTTATCTAGATGGTCATTTGCCAATTAATTATTTTTAGTAAATGCAATAATTACTATCACAGGGTTAAAGTTGTGCAGTTTGTCTCTTTCATCTGATTTTAAAAATGATAGATTCCAATCAATTATATGGTAATCATATTGTCGAATTTTTCAGTGATGATTTGAGTGATTATCCACTAAATTACTTTTGTACAAAAATATTAAGCAGCAGTTTCATTGTGTTTCTCTTTTGTTTCTTTTATATTTTAATGATCTAGTTATAATGATCTAATGATATAACTTATCTGACAGTCTGATTTTAATCAGTAGTTCTATTATTAGTCGAGGTACATCAGTAGTTCTATTATCATTGGTACTGCAACCAATTGTGCAAAAACGTGTCTTTTAATATTTTTAATGCTTTCAAATTATTTTATTTCTTTAAATTCTTGTATTTTAACAAACTTGGTTGGTTTTTGTTGTTTAATTTTCAATTTAAGAAATTTGATTCTTCTTATTTTTATCATTATTGATAATATATATTATTGATAAATTCAAAAGGCAAGGACAAATTTTTCATATTGTTCACATCCTTAAAATAGTAACATTCTATCGAAACAAGCTCAAGTCTATTCGATTTTACTGGTGCATAACTAGTTATGGTGTGATAAATCCTAATTTCATACTTAAATTTTGTACAATTAATTAGCTTTATTTTTGTGCAGGTTAATGGGAAAATTTTGGAAAATGTTACTCACTTTGATGCTGTGGATGCTTTAAAAGCAGCTGGCTCTACGATGGTTATGGTCATTCGAAGAGAAGCCGAGGATGTCAAAAATGTATGTAAAATTTCAACAATTGTATCATTTAGTATTTAAACATAGAAAATTTGCCTGTTAAATATTAAGTGGCCTCTTTAATATGAAATTGTTGACTAAGTTCATACTTTTAATTCTTATTCAAATTCCATTTCTTTCCTTTTAGAAATAATGATCCCTTTTGCTTATAATGATTAAATTTAAAAATGATGTACTATCCTTGTTCATGTTATACTGTTTAAAGAAAAGGTGGAGAAATTCTCTGTACCAAGTTAAAATACGCATTGCCCTATTAATCATTTAAAATTATTAAAGGTCTTTCATGATGTATTTCTTGCTTGAAACTAGCTGAACTTTACTTAAAATACTAATGTTCTAAGGTAGTTTTTTAAAATTATTAAAAGTACAGCAGATGAAACATATGCATTATGTGTTCGCTACAAAAATTAAGTGAAATTTTTTTTCTTCTAAAGCTAGACAATAAACATTATATAAGTACATTTTAACTTCTCAATAAATATTATATGGAAACATTACTACTTCTTTTTTTGGTGGAACCTTACATCTAGATTTAGAGAGTATTTCTTGTTTCAGAAGTTTCTCGTTGGATATGAGTTCCACTGTACCCTAAAATCAGTGGTCGAAAAAAACTACATCATATTTGTAGTTGTAACTGCTATTTTTAAATGTAGTGATAAATTTTAAGGAGATAAACTTTGCAGTTGAACTTAACACATATGTTTAAAATTATTTTGAATAGGAAATTGGCTTACATTAAATGTAAGGAAATAATTAAGAATTATTTATTGGCAAGCCAGTTTGTCATTCCAAAAAAAAAAAATTCTCAAATTTTTTTTCATTTCACCTTCAACCTTTTATGCCTTTTTTGTCAACAAATATTTAATTTAAGAAAGGTAACTCTCAATTACTTGTAATTTTTTTAGTGCTCTTTTAATTTCCCTAAAAAGTTAAGTACATCAAAAAAAAATTTCCCTTTCTTTGAAATAACATCAATGTTTCACGAGTCTACATTCCTATGTGAAAATGCGACCTAAGTGATTAATTATCTATTTTCCGTAGTGGTTAGTTATATGTGATTTTAAATACGTAGTTTCTCATTGCGTCCATTGACGGACCCACTAAAATTTGTGCCCATCAAATTTGAAAAATTTGCAGCGTTACAGCTTTGTTACTATTCTTAACTAACGTCAAAATTTATTGCTAGAAATCACTACAAACTACTGTTTTGTATTACACTACTCACTGCACTACTATTTTTAAAAAAGTAACACACTACACTATAAACTTTTTTTTTTTTTTTTTTTTATCCCGGGGTCAGTCTAGGTTTTTCTGTTAGGTACCTATTTTGTGAAAATTTAGACATAACTAGTGGGCTACGCAATCTTATATGGCTTGCTTCGCTACTTAACTTAGGTACATTGCAAATGCACAAAATTCTAAGAATTCAAAACAATCATTCAAATCCATATAACACCTTTTTTTTTGAAAAATAATTGCATCTTTTTAGTAAATACTAAGTCATTAAAATAAATTTGAATTCAAATAAATGACTTTAAACCTATTAGAAATGTGCTATAGTATAATTCGTAATATAAATCAAAAATCGTCAAATAAATTCGTAATATATAAATTCGTGAAAAAAAGCACTTTCGACAAAATACTAAAATAGAGATCAATCGACAAAGACTACTCACTTCTGACTAGCTTAATAGTATGAGATTGCCGCAGCTGATGCTCTCTCTGGTTTTTTCAGTTTCCGTTTTTAAAAGCGCTATATGTTGAGCCACCTCATTTAGATTTGGCATGTGACATTTTTAGCGGCAATCATTGGTCACTTTTCTAGCGTTGTCATTCGGGGAGTTGTAATGAGACTTTTTTTTGTCGTCGTGTAAGAGAAATATATATATAAATTTGTGAAAATAAAAAACAAAAATTTTTAAAAAATCCACACAAAAATGTGGTAAAAATATGGTTTATCGTTTCTTACAGGATATACAAAAATAAAATTTTAAGAAAAAGTATTTTGTGAAGCTATTGTTTTTCCTAAAGTTGAATTTGTGAAGGTACAGCTAAACGGTAGTAAATTTGACCTGGACAGACCTCTGGTATCGCACTGCACTACTTTCTTAAAAATTTAGCCCACTACACTACAAAACTACTACACTATACTACAAAAAAAGTAGCTACAGTAGTTTCACTACTTAGAGTGCGCTGCCTAAAATTAAAGTATAATCTAATGTTTATAATATGATGTAATGTTAAGTATAATCTAATGTTAATGTAATCTTTTTTTTTTACATCAACAATGTTATCTTTTAAAGTTTAATTTCTTCTCTTATTTAGCATCCTGCTGACTCTATTGTAAATGGTAACATCATTGAGAATGGAACTGCTAATCATATTGGAGAAGACAGTGCTTCACCTACAGAGCCAGTCCAGCTGAATTCAAAATTTCCAGCTGCTGAACATATCATTCAAGACACATGCAATGAAATACCTAAGAAAATAGTTGAGAATGAGAAATCTAACTCTGTGCCAAAAAATGTAATGGACACACCCACAAAAAATAAATTAAATTTAACAATTGATATTCCCAATGAAGAGGAATCCAACATGAAAATTCAAGAGTCTGCATCTCCTTCATTTAGAAAACAAGCTTCTGAAGATTTTGATATTAAATTTGAAGTAAGAATGCGTGTCTTATTGTTTTATTTTATTTTATTACTTTTTATTTTTCATCTTCTGCTTTAGAGGTCTTGACTCTATTTTGTTGGTAAGTGCACCCAGAGATCGGGTTACTTTCAATTAAACTAAAATGTCTTAAGGGCGAACATTTCTGAAAGGATTCTAAATATGCTTTCAGTCATGTTTTTTTGATTTTCACTTAATGATGCTGGATATTTGCTCTTTTATGCCACTAGAGCTACAGACCTTGTCTTGCTATCAGCCTCAGATTTCTGTTTAATGAGTTTTCATTATGGTTCGATCATTTGTTATGTTATCTAACCATATTTTTTTGGGTATTGAGTTCATTGGTTTCCAATTTCATATTCTGATCTGTTTTTTCTGTATGGCTCTGCCATGCCAAGCATCTGAATTTTATGAATTAAATAATTTTTTTTTAAAATTAGATTATCAAGAGTTCACTGTTTCTAATTCTGGCTTGCTTACTTAAATTAATTCGAAGATTTTTCTTAAATTTTACGTGCCTCAATACTATCTTTTAATATATATATATGTATATATATATAATTCAAATTAGAATAAAATTTGCAAGATACAGCATGTGTTTATTTAATCTCCTCTGTTAATTTTTTCTGTTATGCCAATGCAATTTTGCAATCAGCATTTTTCGAAGGGTAGTTTAGTGTTAAACAAATCCCTGTTTTTAGTTTCTTCTATAAATATATTTATAAAATATAATAACAGTTTAATATAATAGCAATTGACTGTAAATATAATAACACTTTGACATTTTTGTGTTTATTTTTATTTTTTCTAGATATTGCATACTACACTTATTAGAGAACAAAATGGTCTGGGTTTAAGTATATCTGACAAGCCAGCTGGTGTAGAAAATGGTGATGTAAGTGAATAAAAATTTTTTTTTTAATAAGTATAGTTAGTCTATAGAAAGTCTAAGGCTGTCTGTTGTTATAGAAACAAGAAGTGACACATTTTAGAGAGGGGAGCTTCTCTCTACCCTGATTCCCTAAAAGATCTTTCCTGATTCCAGTAAAAGATCTTTATAACGCAAACTAAGTCTAACCTTGAAACATGAAGCTTTGCATTACATACAATTTTCCATTTATTTATTCTTATGCTTATAGTTTGTCTACAGTAAGAACTCCCCCCGCCTTAAAGAATAGTGCGTTTCAGGGAGAGTTGCTTCTCTTCATTCTAGGGCTAACACAATAGACCAAAGAAAATGATTCCCTTTTCTGCAAATAGTTCAAATCACTAAAATACGTATTTACTTATTTATTATTTACAGAAAAAATTTTGAATGTGAAAAAATTTTTTGGTTTGCTTTAGCGATTGTAAAGTTAATGCGGCTTATAAAATTGTGTTATATACACCTTATTCTGTATTAACTGGGAATTTAAATTTTTGTTTTGAAAAATGTTTTATTACTTCTTTCCATTAGTGGTTTTTATTTTTGATATTCACTTTTACCTACACATTCTACATCACTTACAAATATATACTTTCTACATGCTAACTAAGAGAACATATTGATGCTAATAAAATCACTATCCTCCCAACTATCCGGCCCAATATGGTGAAAGACTAGGATGACATTACAATTTTATTATTTTTTAACATTATTATAAAAAAAATGTAATGTTTTTTTTCCCTGCATGAAATTTTATGTTTAGAACTTGCACTATAATGACATGAAACACTACTTATTTTATCAGCTACATCTCAAATTTAATTCATAAACATTTCATAGTAAATTAAGGATTTATTAAGTCAATTAAGATAAGAATTTATTGATATATATATATATGTATATATATTACAGTCTATGCTTAATAATATTTCAATACTTTCAGGGTATTTATATTACCAAAATATCAGAAAATGGAGCTGCTGCAAAAGATGGAAAACTCCAAGTTGGTGATAAAGTGTTGACCATAAATGGAGTTGACATGGAGGGTGCTCGGCAAGACCAAGCAGTTTCTCTCTTGAGTGGCTTGGATCGTTTTGTTCGCCTCGTTGTACAACGTCAAAAAGTAAAGTTTGCTTAATATTTGTAAAAAACTAAATTTTACTATGGTAAATATTTTCTGTTAAAAATAAATTAATAAAAATCTATACTTTTTATGAAAGCACCTATTTTTCATAATTATTGTGACACGTTGTCGTACCTCAGTAAAAGAAACTACATCTGTTTAAGCAAACAAATTGTATTGGTAAATCTAAATCTGCTAAAGATAGCATTTTTTTTCTTTTCTTTTTGTCTGATGTTTTGAAATGCTGCGCAACATTACATAAGAATTATTTTTAAAAAGTTAAATTTATATAGTTAGGGCAAAACAATAATGAAGTAAAAATAGAGATATGAGTAATTCAACATTTGGTGTAAAATATGTACAGGGTTAGCTGTTAATTTTATTCTGTGTACTGTAAAAAAATAAAGTAAGAAATTAAATAAAAATAAGTTCTTTTTGTTGATAAAAGTAACCAAGTTATTGATATAATATGTCGGTTATTTTCATGGTAAGGTAATTTTTTCAGTCAGTGAGCTATATTCATTAGATTTTGTAAATTCTCTTTAACAACACTAGACTGTGTTTATTAGTTCAATTATAAGGAGTTCAGTCTTAAAATTGTCTTAGAGTGGTACCCCTGGTAGTGATGTTTCTGAGTTTGTTGGAAGTCACTCTAGCACAGAGTGATATTTTGCTTATATTAAAAAAAGTTTTATGAAACTATTGGTCTCCTTAACTTATCTTTCAGAAATAAGATTAATAATTGTTTTGTCTTTTTTCAGCTTGTTAAAAGAGATCCAAATACTCCTCACCTCCCTGAGAAAACATCCATCACTCTGTCGTCTTCCTCCTTGCTCTCCCAAAAATCACCTAAACTCATTGGATTGCCAAAACCATACACTCCAAAGATATACTCATCAGGCTCTTACATGGCTAATCGACCTTCCTACATCGGATCGTACCGTCGGCCCGAATTGGCTGCTGCTTCCGATGCAACAACAACAACAAAGCCCACATTTTCCATGTATACTAAGCTTCCTGGTTTGAGGAACGATCCTATTAATATGGAACCTATTCCCACCTATTCTTCAACAAATAGGACTAATATTGTGAATAGTGTGTCAGAAACGAACTGCAACAATATCGATCATTTCAAAAGTGAGAAAGAAACCACATCTTGTGCCTATACTAAAACAAACTGTGTGAACCATATTAATTCCAGTGGCAATACAGAGGTGAGTAACTCTGTGAACATGGGGGTCACTGGGGTCATCCCCATCACCCTTTTTTAAGGTTAAAAAAATCTTGGAAAATTTGACTAGCAATTTGTAATTAAATGAGAGCTTAGTAATGTTTTTTTTTCAAGAGCTGTTAAATGTTCTTCAATAGTTAATGTTGTTCTGCAATAGTTAGAAAAATGGTACAGTAGGGAACCAATTATCCGGGATGCTCAGTACCATCGCTATCCCGGATGTCTGAATTTACCGGTTTTCTGGGTTGGCTAAAAAGTGTTGTTTATCGATGTTTTATCAAACTCAAATTACAATGAAAAAGAGTAACATTTTGAAAAGAAAAGCTCTCCTAAATTAAAAAAGAAAAAAAATGGTAAGAAAATGATATTTTAAAGAATAAATATTTATTGAGTATTTAATAATATTTATTGAGAAAATCGTAGAAAACAAACAAAATTTGTCTTCCAAAGAATTGAAATCTTTAAACCTTGTTTCAAATTCTGTTCTAAGATTTGAAATTTTTTTCTGCGTATTTTTGATACGATGCAGTATCATCTAAACTAAATTTGTTCTTGTTGCACGTTGGGAAGTGCGTTAAATCTTCATTTTTCAGTTGCCTTTCCCAAAGAAATAGTTTACATTTGAAAGCTTTTTGAATTATGTCAAACATGTTCGTAATGATCTGATCCTTGCCTTGTAACAATAAATTTAAATCGAATAAGTGTTTGGTTATATCAACCATAGAAGATAAATCTTGCAACCATATTTAATCAAAGAACAAGCTTGTATCTTGATTTTTATAGTTTGTAAAAACTTACATACTTTTTCTTTCAAATCCCATAATTGCTTGAGAACTTTGGAGCAAGATAACCAACTTACCTCGCTATAATAGGATAAACCTGATTATGTACTATCTAATTGATAGCTTAGTGTGAAACGGACTCCATTTCAGCCAATTAGAATTTTACATTTTCGAGCAGATAATTTAAAAGGATCCGTATAGTTTATAAATAAATTATATTATAATTTTATATGCTGGTTTCGTTTCTAATTCACATTTCTATTTTATTTTTACTTTGCTTCGAATATATTGACTGGGGCACAAAAATGTTCACTCGGGCCTCATGCGGGCCGCGAGTTTGACACCCCTGAACTAATATAAGACAAAGCCAACGGTAAAAAAAACACAATGTATTTCCTACCTAATTATAAGGAAGAAAACAATAAATGCAAGGAAAATTAATTGATTATATTAAATAAAAAACACTTGAAAATTACCAAACGGAAACGATGGTTTAAAAGGCGCTAATATAATTAATAAAACCCTGGACAGAACAGAATATTATAAGATCAATTTAGTTTGTTTGTTTTTTAAATTTGTGAATAAAAAGAACTAAGTTATTCCGTATGAAATTTATTGTGAACAGTGAAAAGAAGGAAAGAAAAAACTTAAATCTTAGTGGAATCAGAAATGTATCACTTTTAAAAAGAGAAAGCTTCATAAAATAATTGTCTGCCATTAGAAATAAAAAATCACATGCTTAGATTAACAAACAATCTTCACCTTTCCTTTTTATTTGAAAGACTATTTTTTAACAAAATCGGATGTAATTCTATATAAATCAAAATTAGCAAATACTACCGCACTTCTAAAGAATCAGAATTTATTCAATTGAAAAATATTGTTTCGTTAATCGATGCCACAGATAGATACATGTAACAGACGATAAAAAAAACTTTTGTTCATAATGATAATGTATTATCTGAAATTTTAAAACAATAATTTGTCATGACAAATCAAGGATAGTCAAAATTCAGTAACTAAAGTGGATTTAAAAAAAAAAACTTGTTTGTCAATACTCTTGAGGCAGAAGTTTCAAGTTCCTTAATTCGGACATCCACTCCAGCAACTATTAAGAATAAACGATGAATCACCAAAAGAAAATGAGAAAAAGTAATGACAAAGAATTATCGGATGTATGGTTCTTTACTGTACAAATGATGTTTTGACAAAGGTGTAATAAAATTGCCTTTCAAATTTGAGTGCTACTTAAATTAAGGAAGAAATTTGAGAATTCCTACCTCTGTTGTAAATTAGAAAACATATTCATCTATTCTTTTTTCTAAAATTTACTTTTATAGAAAAAAAAAAAAAAAAAAAATCCCATAAATTATCAACAGAGGGGGGAAAATATTTTATTGCATGTCTGCCATCTTGTGAGCCAAATTACATTTTAGTCATGTTGAAAATTTAAGAATATTTATAAAAAAAGTTGGTCATATTATTACAAAGTAGCTTGTAAGTTGATTTACATAGTAATCAAATTAAAGGAGCTTGTAAGTTGATTTACATAACGAAAGTTGATTTACATAGCTGCAATAGATTTTTTTTAGGAAAAAACTACATTTAAAGTGTTAATTTAAATTGTTTCTGTTCCAATTTAAATTAACACTTTCTATGAAACATTTCTCACTGCATCCTTAAAACGTGATTATAATTTTTTTTCCCTTTAATTAGTTTTTTCTTCTTTAATTTGTGTTTTTTCCCCGTTAATTTGGGTTTTATGAGTACAGAATTTGTCTCAAATGATTATGCTTCAAAATAAACTATGAAAATTCAGCTATCGTGATCTCAAGTTTGCAAAATTACAGACATTCAGGCTCATGTGCTTTTTAAAAAAATATTAGCTTTTAGTGTTGATGTCTATAACATGTTCGTTTAGAAAATAAAATGATAAAGTGTTAAAAACTATCTGTTTCACTACAATTGATTAAGATTTGTGCTCCTTATCTGTCCTTTTCACTTCATTTGTTTGTGATTCAGTTCACTTCATTTGTTTGTGATTCAGTTCACTTCATTTGTTTGTGATTCAGTTCAGTTTTTTGTTGTTAACATATATACAGTTTTAACGAATTATGTTCATGACACTTTCCATTATAATTGTGGCAATTCAATAGCTACCAACTAGTTAGAAACAGAAATATACAAATTATAGACAAATTATATATAAAATAGACAAACAGAAAGAAACAAATTAGAACACCAAGTGCAAAATGTCGCATGTGTTTTTGTGCAAAAAATGTATATCAATTTATATTCCATACCTGTTTCATACTGAACATCATTTTTTGTTCTAACATTTTAAATTAAATTATTAATTAAGAATATCACACCTTTATAGTAACTAATTCAAGAAAAACTTACTTCTTACAAAATCGAGATATTGGATTTTAAAAACGCGAAAATAATGATTGAATATTGAATTTTTAAATCATGTTAATATGAATCACAATGCATAATTTTTAGATTGCCAGAATACGTATAGCAATGTGTTGTTTTTAAATTGCGTATAAATACGAAAATCGATGTTTGATATTGCAACAGCATGAATACGAATATACTGGGTTTTAAAATGTGTAAATATAAATCACGCTGTTGGATTTTTAATTGCGTGAATAGGAATTGTGATACATGAGTTTAAATCCTGTGAATATGAATTGCAACACATAACTTTTAATACAGAATATACAGAACAGGTATATACAGAAATCTGGTAGCTCTTCGCGCTCCCGGGCAACAGGTCCTGGGTTCGATCCTCGGATAGGACAAGGTTGACTCAACCTTTCATCCCTTCAGTGGGTCAATAAATGAGTACCAAGCATGCTATTGGAAACTAAACACTGGGGATTCCGCGTTTGGCTGACCACCTGACCGGAACATCTGCTCCTGCACCCCAGAGCCCAAGGTCAGGAAAACTGAGATAGGCACAGTAGGCCTTGGCCCTCTATGAACTGTCGCGCCACTGAGTTTAGTTTTATGTACGGAAATTGATATTTGATACTTAAAATCTCATGAATAAGAATCGCGATATTACCAGATCCCGGCGCAGTTCCAAGTATTCAAAATGGTGAAGATCCGACAAACCAGAAGAATCTAATTGGTGGTAGAATCATATGTATGTAAGCGTCTCGTTGAAAGGGTTTAGCATAAGTTTCAAAATTTCTTTGAATTATAAGTCTTGATTCGCCGAAGCCCGCGAATGATGAGATATGTGAAATTCTGCAATACTCGCTTAAAAATCGCATGCCTTGCTTGTAGTTTTTAGACTCACCATGGATGGAAAGAAAATCAATAAAAATAGTGAAAAAATGCTAAAATACCGAAAAATCAGGACATTTATGCGTAAAATCGTATTTTCGGTACAAGGCTAAAAAATCTGAGGTTGCGACTTATGCTAAGTAAATTAGTGAAACAAAAATTTTAATTATTAATGATAAAAATTTTGGGTAGTAGTTAGCAGTAAACTCTTTCTCAAAAATTCCCTTTTGTGTTATACAGAGATGATACACTTCCGCGGAAATCCGCTTTTTTCTCCTAAATTTTAAAATTTTCGACCATGTTCCAAGAACTTAAATTTTTGGGGAGTCCAATAAGAGAAACCCAAGCAGCCCGAACGATAGTCAAACTTGAGACGAACCCCCCCCCCTGCAGTAACCTCCTGACAACTGCAACTTCTGCTATAGATTGGAAGAAGAAAAAAAAAGAGAGTTCTAAGCAGTTTCATTTCGGTCACTGATATTTGATTTCTTTTGTTTTGCTGATTTTCAGAATTTTAAATATTAGGAACTGCACTGGTACCTGCTAAAATTGCGATTCTTATTCAGACGATTTTTATGCAAATCATCGATTTTCGTATTTAACTGATTTAAAAGTTACTTGTTGCGATTCGTTTTTATGCAACTGTTTAAAAATCGTACTCACAATTCTCATTCATGCAATTTAAAAATCCAATATCGCGATTTGTATTTAAGCGTTTTTAAAGCCCAATATCGCGATTCGTATTCCCACGAGGTTAAAATGCAATGTCGCAATTCGTATTCACATATTTTTAAAATTCAATATTACGATTCGTTATCACACGGTTGTAATATCAAACATCGATTTTCGTATTTATACTCAATTTAAAAATTACTCGTTGCGATAAGTATTGACAGGATCTAAACATTATGCGTCGTGATTCTTATTTACGTGATTTAAAAATTTGATATCGCTATTTGTATTTTCGTATATATACATCCATGTTATAATAGTCTACCTATTATCAAGGGCGCCGGCAGAATAACCTAAAAGGGGGTGCACCCTCTAACAAACTACCCCCCTTCCAAAAAAAATAACTTTTTTTTTTTAAATATTTTATTATTTCATTTTGTTTTGTTATTACATATACTTTCATCTGTTAATTTTTTCAAGATACATTTCTTCATTGTTAACAAGATATTTTAAAAAAAGTACGAATTTCTTGTACTTGCAAATTTTGCCACGAGAAACTATATTGATGGCGCTAGCATAGCTACTGACTTTGAAACACAAATAACTATAAACAGTAGTTCTGTATACTAACGTGTTTGTGCACACTTAACATTGGTATTTATTGTGTTGATGAAGTTTCACAGTTGTGAGAAGTCAGTTTGTGTTATACACCTTTGTTAAACTAAATAACTAATAGAAAATATAATATTACTTATATTTTATTAAATGAAATTTAAAAATATAGCTTAGATATCTGCCAAGTTTGTGCATGCTCAGTGTGCATAAGAAAAGAATCAAAGATGACTCATGGAAAAAGTTATAACATATTTGGACAGCAAACAAGACGATTACAGTTCTTGTTTGATTAAATAATTTTTTAATTGTTATGTATAAATAATTAGTTAATTATTTGTTTTTCAATAAAATTATGTTTAATGAAAAAAATTTGTTACAAAATTGTTTTTCTGTATCTCTTTAATTGTTTAAAGAAACCGGGGGTTGCAAGTGCACCCCCTTGCACCCCGCTGCAGGCGCCCTTGCCTATTATGTTTCTGTATTTCATACATTTATTATTTTTGTATTTCAAACATTTATTAACTTAATGTTTATTAAAAGCTTAATATTACATTTTATCATTAAATTGTTAAATGATGCATGTAAATATTGTTAAATGACATGTATAACTGAAAATTTCAGGAAGTCAGTTTAGTAAAAGCTGGTGGACCTCTAGGCTTAAGCATAATTGGTGGTACTGACCATTCGTGTCATCCTTTTGGTGCTGATGACCCTGGTATTTTTATATCCAAGGTAATTTAAATTCCAATTTTTTTAAAAACCCTTTTATATTTTTGAGCCAATAAACTATGAGTTATAATTTTTCCTTTTTGTAATATATAAATATTAATTAAATAATTGAGCTTGCAGTTTAAACGTATGGTTGCTACAAAGAGTTTTCAACCATCGTTATGGCTGCTAAAATAATTTGGTGTGTTGCCGACAAAGTTCCCTGTAGACTATGTTCATTGTGCGATTAACACCAACATATTTACATTTGTAGGCAAGTGTGAAATTAATTTAAAAATTGTTTTCATACTATATATTGCCTGTAATATATATTCATATAATATATTGTAAAATGATGGCATGTGTTTTACATCCAGTGAATAAGTGTTTTATTAAATATGATTTTTTTTTATTCCATTTATTGTCTGCATAAAGTGCAATTGAACATTTTGGTGTTATAATGAACTAAAATATATAATTGTCCTTTGTTGTTTTTAATAATTTGTAATAATTGACCAATTTAATGGACTAAAGTAAATCTTAGTCCATTAAAGTTTTTCAAATTATAGTGAAATCTTATACATTTTGGTTTTTGTGCTGTGTAATTGGCAATTCCATACTTTATGTTTGTGGTTCCAATGATTATGGTGCAGTCCTGAGTGTTTCCTTTAAATAATATGCTCGTATCTCTTAATCTTATTTTTTTTCAAATGCATTCAATTATATCCAATACTAGTAAAGTTTGCAGTTTAAATTTGAGGAGTGTTGATTTTCCCCTAACGTTTGAAATTTCAGACTGAAACATTTAATTTATTAATACTTTCTCCTTAGGTTACAATAAAAGAGCTCATTAAAATTTCTTAAGTCACTAAAAAAAATTTGCTTTTAAGTGTTTTTAAACATTAGGAAGCTGTTTAAACCTCCTATTATAAGACTTGGTAGAATAAATTAATAATCTATAGCTATGACAAATTACAGTCTAAAATGATTTTTTTTTTTTTTTTTTTTTTTTTTTTTTTTTTTTTTTTTTTTTTTTTTTTTTNTCCTAGCCCGTCTTATTTAAAAGGTTCTGTGTTTTTGAAATAAAATACATTTGTTAATATTTGGTTAAAAAAAAATTTGCTGTTTGTTTTATCTTTTTTATTCTCATTAAATTTATTATTTTTTCAGATTGTTCCAGAGGGGGCTGCTGCCAAAACAGGGAAACTAAAAGTTGGTGATAGATTATTAAAAGTAAGATTAGAGTTTATAAATTAAGTTATGTTTTCTTAGATTTGAAAGTACTTATTAGTATAACTAGTTGCCATTGCCATATTATTGTAAGTAATTAAATGTGTCCCAATCTAATTTATGTTTCTTTTTTTAATCTTTATTCTAAATTTTAAAACCTAAGTATAAAATCCAGCATAACTTTGCCAAACTTGGAATAATGATCATAAATAAATAAATAATCAAAAAAATTCTGTCCTTTGTCACATGTTTTAGTTATATTTTCATATGATTATAGAATTAAGTAAAAAATGCGCACAAAATAATAACATAAATGCCAATTAGAAATTTCTGGAATTAGTTATTTTTATGCCATTTTACCCCTCCCCATATGATCTTAAATGTAATATTTCCTCTCCAATAAAAGTTTTAGTACTTTTCAAACAAAACAAAAAATTATGTTGATGTAGTTTATTAAAACTAACATTACGGTTAAAATTTTTGTATTAATATTACCATTTAACTACATAGTAGAAATGCCTTCATTTGAAGCACTTTCTTTTAATCAGATACTTGACCTTATTTGTTTGTTACTACATTGTGCAATTTTAATTATGAAACAGTCTTTGTTTAAAAAAGAAACTCCATTTAAACTTCCATAAAGAAGATTTTATTTTATTACTGCCGTTGAACAGCCGACCCAATTTTGAGTGCTAATGTTAAACTCCGTATCCTTGGTAATTTTGAAACCTATCGAGAAGGCAAGGTAACTCCTGGATCAAGTATTGAGAGAAATTTGCCTTTGTGGAGGACTTTTTGATGGAACTAACCTGCATTTGCATTAGATGGAAAGGAAAACCTCCCACGGTTAGCTTGACAGCAAGGGGACTCTAACCCATAGTCCGTCTACTACCGAGGATATTTTACCTCAGCGCTGTGATCGGTGCAAGCCGGTTGTTGAATTCCTATCGACCAGCCATCACTGGGAATACGAACCTGGTTCACCTCATTAAACAGTGAACACTCTATCTCCTGAGCCATCGCGGCATATAAAGATTTTTTTTTTCTTTCTTTTGCTTTTTCAGAAATAGCTCATCTTGTTGTTGTTGCTATACACTCTTTATTCCACCTTAATTTTTTATAGGCCTTTCAATAAAAATATGGCATTAAGTGCTCAAATGCTGCTTATAATGGAATCTCTTTTATGTTCCCAGTCTCAAAACACTAGGTTACTTTATTAAATATTACTTTAGAGCGGCTGTGTGTGATGTTACTATTGCAGTTCTGTGTCTTCACATTGGGTAGTCCAATTATGTTTGTTTTTTCAAGTGTCACCTGAAGCATGGAATATGATGGGTTAGTTAGACTGCATCTGGTGTCATATTAAGGGCACTAAAGTTTGTCATTCAGTAAGTTGGATTTGTATGAGTAGTGCTGTGGGATGTAAGGTGACTGGCAATTAAATTTCAAAGTGGCCGGATGACGCTATTGGTTGAAAATGATATCACAACGTGAAGGAAGAGAGAAGCTATGTATTGGCTGGCGTTTACTTAACTTCGGCTATAGATTTCCTTTTTATGTGTGCTCTGGACTTATTTCATTTTTATAAATGTTTATATAATATCAGTTTTATTTTCAGGACTTTTGTAATAGAAATTATCACAAAATTGTGTGAATGTAAATAGTATTTCTTCTCATTTTTAATAATTAAAAGAAATATTTATTTAGTATTATGCTTTCTACATTCTAAACATTTGTAACAAAACAAAATACTTCAGTCACATTATTTATGTTAATAACCTCTGAAGTCTTATAAAAACTTTACCACTGTAGTACTGTTACTATTTTTCTTACCATCAGTGATCAATAAATTGCATTATTGTTTTTTATTGAACAGTCATTTCTTTATTTAAATTATTATTTATTTATTTCAAAATATTAGACTATAAAACACATTTGAAAATTAATGAAGTTATATATCTTGAGACTGTAATAAAATCAATAGTTAACTTGTTTAAATGCAAAATTTCATTAATTTTCCAAAAGCGTGTTAACGCCAGTTAATGCATACCTTCTCCTGTCCCACAAATGGTGCTCTTCTCTTTGACCAATAGAGTAATACGACCACTTTGAAATTTAATCGTTCGTTGTAAGGTACTACCATCTATGGCTGCCTGAAAGAGTTGTATTTTGTAGATTTACCAATAAAGGTTGTTGTTGTGTTGTGTCCAATCCTTCAGGATCTAGCGACAGCTGGATCAAATCCATGATCCATCTCTAGCAAAGTCAAGCACCAGAAATGGGCTATCACGAATATTCGTAAGAGCGAGCCCCAAGCAATCGAGGATGTGATCGGGGGAGGCCGGCATCAAATGGCACTTCGTGCACGTTGGGAAGACTTTGCGGCTGCATTTAAAGGTCATGCATTTTAGGTGCCCACTGATAAGTCTTGAGGCGGCCTTTTGAGCCTGTCTGTCAGTCTCAAGATCCAATGCACATCCTGGTCTTTTCCTACAAAACCAGGGATGGGCAGGAGGGGAGAGCTAGACCTGCCGGTCTATTTTTCGTCACTGAGGAAATCTCTTGAAAAGTGAGGTCATAGTCGGTACCAATAAAGGTAAAGGAGATAATCCCAAACCTATAATAAACACTGCAGTGTCTCAGTTTAAGTGATCATCCATCTTTGAAAATCTATGTTTTATCCCAGCAACTATATTTATTCTGGCATTTTAAATAAACTGACACTTTCTTCCATTGTTTCATAGGTCAATGGTGCTGAAGTTAGTAAAGCATCACATAAAGATGCTGTGATGGCTCTCCTAGCCCCGACTTACGAAATGACGTTGACCGTCCGCCACGACCCGTTGCCTCAAGGTTGGCAGGTAGGGTCACCACCTCTTACAGTAGAGAGTGATTTGTAACATAAAATTCATATTTTAGCTAAATAATATAATTCTATTGTATTCTGTGAACTGTTATATAATAGTAATTGTATTACAATGGTAATGTATCACATTTAAATTTTATCTTTTAACATCTGGCTTTTAGTTTTATTTGCTTTAAATTAAATTGGAATAGGTAATTTTTATATCCTTGAAAATAATAACACTTGTTATATTGAAAACACTTCCTTTTTTTTCTTCCATCTTTGCTTTTATGATTATCTCATTTATCTAACTATGACTTGAATAGGGAACCATTTTTTATTATCAATTTTTAAGCAAATTATCTACTTTTAATATCGATGAATATTTAAACGTTTAGCTTATAAATGTGATGTGTATATATGTGTTTAAAGTGTATATAAATGAATAATTTACGTTGAAGTCCTAAGTAATTAGGATTGATATGAAAACAAATAATGTTGAACCTTTTTTTTTTAAATCAATTTAGCTATTATTTATTTAAAAATTTAGAATGAAATTCAAATTTTTTCTTTGTTGTATGTGGTATATATTTGGTTTTAACCAACTAACTGTCAAGCAGCTAAGTGAAACTGAATTGAAGTTTCTTGTCTAAACCCCTTTTTAAGGGGAAAAAAACTAGCTTAACAGAAAACCTTGTTGGACTAAGTTTGTATTGACAGTTAAAGGTTTAATCAGCAAAATTTGTTATGTCTGCTTTATACCATTACTGTGGGAATGATATGGCTGTAGTTACGTGTTCATGGTAAACTTTGAACCTTTTATTTCAAGTATTTTAAAGATGCGTAAGTGAGAAAATTTCTTTTTTTTATTAATTCTTTGTATATTGAGAATGTGTCTGTTTCTGCATCATCATGAATAATTTTTTTCCCTGACATTTAAGGTTTAATTTAAATTGAGTAATTACATATATCAGTACATTTTCAACTATAAAGGTAGTCCAAATTAAAAGTTGACATGTGACGATCATGATTACACCACTATTCAAGGTTTTAAAGACAGGTAGAGGTGTACAGAAGATTATGTATAACTGATTTATAACCAGTTTAGAATTGGGCATTTTAAGTCTGTTTTAAGATCATTACATTAAAACATCTTTTATTAAGACACCTTTTATTATTTTTAATCTATAAGAACAATTCAGAAATCAGCGTTTTCTTTGCCCCAATTTTGGCAGATCCGATATTGATGGTTGTCCATCTTGAAAACTTCAACACCATTTGTTCACAGTTATACCTTCTAGATCAGTGCCCACCAAACTTTTTTGATCATTGATCCTCAAAAATTTTATACTTCTTTCATCAACCTCCTTTATAAAAAACATAGATTCGTTTTATTTTCATAAAATCAAATGTTTACATAAATTAATGTGAACGATGTGCTTGATAATTTAACTCAAATAAGCAATGCTTCGTTAAAATTTGTTTTCAGTTATAAATTCCCTCAGAGCTCCACATTCAATTTATTTCTCTGTTTTTTTTTATAATAGAATTAACATGACTGAAACTGGATTCAAGTGTGATCTTGGGAATGCAAATAAAAAAGTTAAATGGTGCATTACAAAGTTTTGAATATTTTTGTGTAATATTCATACACATCCGAAATTTACTCCCAATTTAATTTTAAAAAAATACATAATTAAGAATTAAAAAGCAGCTTTGCTTCAAGGTCTACTAATAATTCATTGGCTGCATCTTGCAAATAACTGTGGATATTTTCAGCTTAAGCAAAAAGTGGTGCTATAATTTCATCTGGGATATAAATATTTCCATTATCACAAAAATGTAACTTAAATTGATTGATTACTTTAGTTATCTCTGTTTTATACATTGCTCATTCTTCGCAGTTGACCTTTAATAATAAATACTGCATTATGTGCTTTTTTGCCTCCAAAAATCACACACTTGTGTGTTATTATCAAGGCTAGGATGTTGTACGACCTAAAAAATTTTCCTTAAATATGTAAAAATATTGAAACATAGCATCAAAAATAACCTTAAAATGAAAATTAATGTCCTTAGAAATTTTCACATGCATTTTATATTAATTGTTAAAAAAAAAAACTCATAGAAATCTGAATTTGCTTTTATAAATTTAATAAAAATAAAGTAATAATTAAAATAAATCTGGGATTTATTAACAAATTAAAACGTTAATAAGTATGTGATAAAGATAAATAAGAATTTGTGAATTTTTAATTACAATCAAGAACATCAAAATTGCATTGAATTATCAAATGTTTATATATATATATATATACCGATTATCCGGAACGATCGGGACCATCGCTATTCCAGATAACTGATTTTTCCAGTTTTCTGAATCTCTACAAAAAGCCAATTTTTTTTATTGTTAAACCCAACTAAAAAAAAAAAAAATTATATTTGGAAATAATCTTAAAAAGAAGAAAAAACGATGAAATAATACGCTAATGATTATTTCCAAAATGATGGTTAGGTAAACATCTTTCAAAAAAGAAAGAAAAATCCTAAAATCTTGAGGAGAATTTTAAAAAAAATGGCGGGAAAGTTTATCGAATTTCATTCCGTTTTTCTGATTTCCGTATAACGGGTTCTGTACTGTGTGTATATATATATATTAAAATTAATAGAAAGCTTAAGGCAAATTCATATTTCTTGAAAAACTCAGTTAAACATCACTTGTTATTGGAGGCTGTTTTAAGTAACAAAATTTAATGCAAAATAATCTCTAATTCGTTAAGGAACAAATTAATTCACAAGAAAAATTTTCGGAATTCATTAAAAAAAAAATATTTAATAAAAAATAATGTAAAAAAAAAGTTAAATAAATGAATTTTAAAAAAACAAAGTGCGTTTATCATCAACATCTTAGCTGCGGTTATTATGTTCTGGGAGCATCTATCTTTAGCACAACTTTACATTCACATTAAATACTCTCATGCAAAGCAGTTAATCAGTTGTGCGCAGTTTGCAGCACCCTTTTTCTACTTTCCTGTAGAATCCTAAATTGTCACTCTGCTGTATTCTAAGGCACTATCGTACATGTCAACTTTTTGTTTGGGCTATCCGTAATTTTTTTTTCTTTCTAATAACTTTCAAGTAATTGAATAACTTTCAAGTAATATGTAGCCAGTATGCTAAAATTCGTGGCTTTTAAATTTTAAACAAAGCTGCCTATTTTCTGTGATATTTTGTTTATTCTTTTTTCTGTTTTCGAAATTTTGAATATCTCTCTTTTTACCATATAATGGTAATTTTTGATTAATAGAAAATCAAAAGAATGAGGTTAAAAGGATATGCACGTATTTTATTTTTAAATTATGTGCCTTAAACTGGTGCTTAATATAGCCCTATCAAATTCATTATTTGAGTAATAAGTGTGCATAATTTTATATTTGTGCTCCGTGTATACAATAAAAAAAGTAGTTTGCATCATGACTTAAAAATCATTTGGAACAGCAATGATGCAAAATTACTCCTCTACTCATACTCTATAATTACTCTTTCAATACTCCTATAATTATAGACTGAGATAAGAAATCCAAATGATTAGTATTATACATAGCTGCCAACTTAACTGGATTTTCCAAAAGATTTCTGGATTTTACCAGTATTCTGCCAGTTTTTTTAAATATTTTTTGAAATTCTTTTCTGATAAAAATAAAACTTAATAATTTTTTTTTTTGCGCCAGTTTATTGCTTGAGTATTCAAATAAGTATTATTGTTCATATAATTCTCAAGTATATTCTCATATACAGTGATCAATTTCAATGTTTTTAATCTATTTTGCAATTTCAGTTTTTAAATTCAATGATATAATTATCTAAAATGAAAAAATGAATTAAAAGAGGACTTAATGAAAACATTTTATATTCAACCCCATTTGATATCAATCATAAATTATTGCAGTTAAATTTTTAATTATTAGTGTACATGTTGTTGCTAAAGCTTGAAAGCTGTTAAGTTGCACATTACCTAGATCTACAGATTAATTTGAATAATCTGTTCAAGTGCAAAAACTAGATTTTTTCTTTCTGCACAATTTCCCTTGACGCATTAACGGTTTCCATATTGTTAAAGTAAAAGTTTGTTCCTCTTATTTTATCAACTCATTTGTTGATTGTATTCATTCACTTAGTTCTTCAAATCTTGAAAAATAAATAAATGACTTCAGTTAATTTCCTTAATAGTAATAATATTTTAAGCCAATAGCTTTATTTTATATTTTTTTAAAGGGATTGACGCTTGATTCTGTTGACTACTATATTGATTTTAGTAAATTGATTTTTAGCAAAATCTATTGATCTAAAAGATGCTACCGAAAGTTACTGTTGCTCTAGCAGAGATTTTTATTTTAAGTTTAACAAGCGCTTGTAGGTAATGTGCATATTAGCTCATTAGTTAAAGTGTAATTTTTTTGCACTTTAACAAATCAATCATTTTGATCTGTATCTTTGGTGGCAGTGATCGCCATTACTAATATTTTAGTGGTAGTTGAAGTATAATCATTGACTTTTGACTGTTACATATACATCTTAATTTTGATGTAATTTAATTATAAATTGTCTCAGAGAAATAAATGAAATCGTTTGAGAAAAATTGATTTATTAATTATTAAAAATGGCCATAATTCAAAAATTTTAAGAAATAATGAAGAAAAGAAGTCCCTTAAAGGGATCAAGATAAAACATTCTCTTACTTCAAGATTTTAGTTAGCATAAATGTTTTCAGTTGAGATTTTTTATTCATCGGTTGGGACTGGGAGGCCCAAAATGTCGCTACAAATTTGAAATTGAAAGTAAATGAATTTGTTCCCAATGGACAGTATGGAAAAGAGAACCAAGGAAGAATCACAGCATGGAAAAGAGATACAAGGTTGGCGTATTATCAAAAGATTACATAGCCAAAATAAAGCCAACCCCCCATAACCAATATTAGGTTTGAAAATACTTTGGCGATCGTGAATCGCCAACAAG